TACTTTTCCATAGATATCCTCATCTCTGTCCTCATGTGAATTCAGAGGCAATGAACATGAAAATTATTTACCATAAACATCGCAAACTAAAAACCTAATAAACAATTTTATACCGAATATAGAAATAAATTTAGTATTCTTACCTATTATCGTCCAAATCCATGTTAATAGATAATTATTATTTTTAAATATATTTTTGGAACTGCTGGTTTTAGTAATTATTAAATTAAACGAATTAAAAAGTCTTAAAAATAAACAATTCTTAACCATAACCCATAACCCCAAAAAATACAGATCTCCTGTCAACTTTCTTTATTTTTTATTTATTCATTGTTTTCCTAGTGACGTCACAGGTGGTATGCGCGAACTGAACGAATTTGGAGCCGCTATCGATCATACCTTGTATTCTTTGTACCATGTATGGTCTCCACTATTATAAGCATCCCTCTATGCATTGGCGAACAAAACATGCAACACCTGTCTTATGGTTTGGGGTCCATATGGTACAGACCAGCATCGATTGCACCCCGCCACTCCATGCACCGGCCGAACAAGAACATATTGAGAAGTATTTAGCGTGAAAGGGGTGGTAAGTAATCCGTATGGTAGATTTTTTCATTGTCGGTGTAGGATGACGTAAGAAATTATAGTAGTTAAGTAGGTTCATATTTTAGTATTGTAATTTATAAATTAAATGTCCTGAGATATTGTCTAAAAAATAAAGATTCCACCAAAAATTTCTAGAATATTGGTTGATTTTTTTTATAGAATATGTAAACAACTTTCATTTGTGGTATTTCTATAGTAGTAATTTCTGAATTGTTATTAGGGTTTAAAAAACTAAGGAATTTTGTATAAATATAAACCTAAATTATGTATTAAGATGTATTTCAGGAAAATATTTTAACTTCTATAGGTTGGCTCAAAAAAATGTGAGTGGATTGGAATATTTTTTTTAAACGGAACACCTTGTATATTATTGCATTTTTGGCTTCATTTCAGATGACTACATAATTCTTAAATATGAGTAAATATATTTTGATAGTTTCACAGATATTAATAAATAAATAAAAAATATATATTCTCAGTCTTTCTTCAAAAAATTATTAAAAATACAAGGACTGTCCTGAAATCAAAACTATATTAGGTATTTACTTTAGATGGTCTGTTCTTACTTTGCTATAAATATGGTAATCGTAAATCATACAGGATGTTCAAAATTCTACGCTAAACTTTCTAAAATATGAAATAATTTTTCTTTGTTTTTTTAAATGGAACATTCTGTAAATTATTTTTTCAATAGATGGAGAGTTAAAAAATGAACATTTTTTTATTTAAAGTATTTCAAAATTTTTAAAGCTTTTACAGATACACGAAGTGTTGTTTCATATAACTATTTCAACGGTAAAATACGAGAGAAAAATTGCCATATGAAACATAAAACTGAGAATATCTGCCAAACCGTAAAATTTTTTGAAATACTTTAAATACAAAAAATGTTCACTTTTTAACTCTCCAGTTATTGAAAAAATATTATACAGGGGTTCCATTTATAAAAGCGAAGAAAAATTATTTTATATTTTAGAAAATTTGGCGTAGAATTTTGAACATCCTGTATAATTTACAATTACCATATTTATAGCAAAGTAAGTACAGACCATCTAAAGTAAATACCTAATATAGTTTTGATTTCAGGACTGTTCTTGTATTTTTAATAATATATTTAAGAAAGGCTGAAAATTACATGTTTTTATTTACTTATTAATATCTCTGAAACTATCGAAATATATTTATTTGTTTCATACGATTATGCAAAGTGATCTGAAAGGAAGCCAAAAATGCAATAATATACAGGCTGTTCTATATAAAAGAATCTATCCGGTTCCACTTACACTATTTTGAGCCAGTCTATAGAAGTTAAAATATTTTTTTAATAAATGTTTTTTTATTCTAGGAGCTACAGATGCCCGACGCACTATTGCCGGACCCTAATAGCATTTATAAAGAAGAAAGTATGTAATAATGCATATCTTTTGATATTTGGGATTATTATCGAATTTATTCTATTCCTAACCTAACCTAACACACTGTATATATTCTGTTAAATCATTTTTTACCCATAAACGCATAATTTAGTGTAGCAAATATGCTACATTATAATGTTATATTAATATTTATCGACAAAGCAATATTTAAACTATACTGAAAACTGTTAGTTTTAATATAAAGCAGCTCGGTTGGGCTATTTATTTGTCACAAATAAATATTGTCAGCGTAAATAGATAATAACACACTGTATATATTCTGTTAAATCATTTTTTACCCATAAACGCATAATTTAGTGTAGCAAATATGCTACATTATAATGTTATATTAATATTTATCGACAAAGCAATATTTAAACTATACTGAAAACTGTTAGTTTTAATATAAAGCAGCTCGGTTGGGCTATTTATTTGTCACAAATAAATATTGTCAGCGTAAATAGATAATGTAATAAACATAAATTACGTCCTGTTCGAACACAGAAGGTATTTAATTAACTCCATATAGGATAGTAATATAATTTAGAATATTTATAAACTAAATACATCGTGGATAATTATTATTTATAATTAATATTCTTGGTCACACTAAATAATCTTTAAAATAAACTAATTTTATTTATATAAAAAAACACAAGCTAAGAAGTTAACAATGTCCGTGCCCTATATTCACAGTTGATACTTCATAACTATCATTTAATGAATGTAGAATATCAGCTGATTTTTTTCTGTACAATGCATGTTTTTCTTCATTCAAGCACTTTTGCATAAATGTAAACTGTGTGCAGTTAACTTATTTTGATTAAAGAGACATAATATGTAGTAAATACAAGAAGGGACCATTATACGAAAAAAAAGTTGGAAAATTTTATTTCTACAAAAGTTTATGTAGGGGTATATTCCCGTAATTTTCTTTGTTTTTGGAGAAAGTCAAATGTTAAAGCGATTAGAAAAACATAGGCGCCCCAAATCTGATTCAAATCGGAAAATTGGTTCTCCGAATATCTTAGAAAATGTATGTTTATTTTCCAAAGTTTGATGCCCTCTAGCGGCCAAACGAAGCTTTTTTGTATAGAGGTAATTATATCCAAAGATGTAGTCCACGGAATATTGAGACACCCTGTATATTCTTCTAGTCTTTCCAGTGTTGTGTTATTTATTAGAATGTATTTTGTCTTTCCCTTTATTATATCTAGATAAATTAACATATTTTAGACCTAGTTATAGGAATACACATATTTTTTACAGTTTTGAACTTTCCAAACCAACTTATTGCTTCAAAAAGGAAGCATTATATTTTTACGTTGGGTTCATAAAAAGATTCTGTGTATTCTTTTATTTTCAGATTTTTTTTAATCTTTCTAATTTAATTCTCCGTATTCATAAGAATATAAAGAATATCTCTCTAAGTTCCGGTTTTCTGTAATTTATATGTTCCCATTTTTTTTCTTTCCATACAGTGGCGGTTCTTCATTAAGTGCATATATAAAGGGTGATATATTTTAATACCAAGAGCACGTCTATGAAGTTCTTTTACGCGAAAAAAATTAAAACAATTTTGGATCATATTTTAATTTTCAGTTAAAAATCATAATAAATTGATAATACGGCAACATTGGTAGTACATTAAATATAGAGAAATTAAAATTCAAAGAAAATCCAGCGGTTCTGAAAATTTAAGCAAAAAATATATTTTTTTTATTTTCAAAATAAAATAACTCAGCTATTTTTGACTTATTTAAAAAACGGTCAAGAGAAAAAATGTTTCTGTTATTGAGATCTAACAGATCTGAAAATATGTGCACTTATTTAAGACTCACCCTGTATATTACTATTCGATAAATACTTCTCCGAATTTAGTACGTAAATAGATATTTTGACGAAAAATTGAGAAGGTGATTCCATTTAATTAAGATGGTTTTTTTGGTATAAAATATTTTGATGTCATTTCCCTACAAAGTTAGTTGATTATACAGGGTGAGAAACATATATTTTCTCTTTACCGTTTTTCAAATAAATACAAAATAACCGAGTTATTCAAGTTTGAAAATTAAAAAAAATATTTATTTTTTAAAAATTTCAGAGCATCCCGATTTTTTCTGTATTTGTATTCCTTAATGACGTAAGCTGTAACCATGGTAATATGAGAAATTAATAAATTATACCGTGGGAAAATTTGCGGTAAACAAGCAGATCTAAAAAGTTTTCTAAAATATACAGGAAAATTTAAAAGAAAATACACTATTTTCAACATCTTTTTTTGCGATAAAACCCCAGATCTAAAATTATTTGCTCTTATTTAAGGTTCACCCTGTATATACAGTCCACATGTGCATTTTTGCATCAAAAACTTATTTAAAAATAAAACATTTTCAGATTTTTTTGCTACACCCTGTAGCGGTTTTAATCCTAGGACTATTTTACTCGACTGTACTGTATAATGAATAATACCCTAATCATAATCCCAAACCAAAAAATCACCCATCTATCGATACGAATTATATACTCGACTCAATCTGTCCAAACCAACCCTCACCAACCTCATACCCACCGCAAAGTTCCAATATAAGCCACGCGGATACATAGAATAGGCGCTCGGCGATCGGTCCTTTTCAGATTTTAATGCGGCATACATTGAAAACCGTATTGGCCGACCGTATTTTCAAGCTCCGCCCCCACCTAAAACTCCATTGGTCTGTTCGTTACCCCGAAACTTACGTTCACTCCTATAGGAAGCTTCCCGCCATATAACGAAATACGCTCTTTAAAATGTTAAGTCCCCTTGTCTCACTCTCACCCGCTGATATAGGGCGGGTTTCCGTCCTTTTCCCGCGTAAAGGTGGGATAAACTGGCATTCCAGCTGCTTTCAGGGGTAGGAAGAAAATCCCGACAATATTTCGGGACTCGCTGTATGCTTTCAGGCATTCATCCCCGAGATTTTGTGTGAGGAACATCGTAACTTCGTGAGGACTTTGTTTTACGCGTGTTGTGAGTGAAAATGGACCGAAATAAAAGTGACATAAAGTGCGACGAACCTCATCAAACCATCATACCAACTAAGGCAGTGAAACGACCTTTTGACGTTGCTTTTCTGATGCTTCCCGACGAAAAACTAGTCCAAAAAAACAACAAGATCTCGAAAAATGTAATAAATTTGGAGAAGGACATCGAAACATGCTTCAACAACAACGATGAAGACGAGGAGGTTGATATAGAAGAAACTCACTGCGAGCAAAAGGTAAATCACCAAAAATTCTTCACGCAAAAACAACAGATTTTTGATGACCCGAATTTGATAAAAAACAAAAACTACGATGGACTAAGAAAAACTTTTTGTGCTGAACAAAAAAGCGCGTTTACTAAAGTAAACATGTCAAAAGAATCAAGGCTCTCGCCTAATTTATCACTGAGTCCTGATCTGAGCTACCAGAACTCACTGAGCCCTTCACCACCAATAATGAACAGAAACTATCAGAACTTCTTGCCACAACACTCCCAAAACTCACATCTATTCAAATCACAAACTATACCATCATATCAAACAAGTTTCATTCCTGAAAACTTCCCCAACCAGCAGTCAGTGATTGAAAGTCATTTTCTGGCAAAAAACTCCGAAATAAACTTCCAAAAACTTCGTCCAACGATGTACAGGCCAGAACTCCCGTACAACTACCAACAGTTCCCTAATCAAGAACTCCTAAAAATATCTTCTTCGCCTGATATAAGACACCCGGCAGCTGCAGCAATTCTAACCTCACTACTACCCCCATCTTTGGCGGCTTTATCGTTACCGGCCCAAAACGTTTGTGCCAAATGTAACATAACCTTTCGGATGACGTCTGACTTGGTGTATCACATGAGGTCTCATCACAAGAACGACTCGAACGACATGAACAAGAGAAGGAGGGAGGAAAAATTGAAGTGTCCGGTTTGTGCTGAGTCGTTTAGAGAGAGGCATCATCTGACCAGGCATATGACAGCTCATCAGGATAAGGAGGATGATGATAAAGATAAAAGCAGTAAAAAGGAGGCGGTTTAAATGAATCAGAACTATAGATAAAATAATGTTGATAATTCATAAGATTTTTTTCGGTAAAAGATTTTGATTAAGGTACGATTTGGTGGACAAATTTTGTTGAATATTTATTCTCTTTTTGTAAATATTGTATAAAGAAAAACTGTTTTAATGGAGAGATTCGATGGTTTGTTGTTTATTGATTATGTGCAATATTATCAGTTTTAATAAAAATATTTCGGAAAAATCAATCTGTTTCGTATTTTATTTATAGCCATAGATTATTCGTTGAATTATCAGAAATATACAAATGAAATGGGTATCATATTCAGTTAAATTATGTTGTATTCATAATAATTATTAACACTTGTGTATTAATTTTATGTTCCCTTGCTTATAATTTTTCTATCATAATTTTTTATATACATTTAAATACACATTTTTTCGAATAATTAAATTCAATAATATTATTAGTAGGTAATAGTAAATTTTATCTTTGATTTTTGTTGTCATCATCTTTATTTGATGAAAAACTTGTACGCAATAAATAAAATATTTATTTTTTGTAGTTAATTTTAGAATATTAGTTTTTAATGCTTGGGGACCTATGTAATTCATTAAATAACATATTTTTATTTTGTCAACGATATTTAAAAGATTAATAGATATATGTCTATAAATAATGAGTATTAGAAAAAAATGAGCTGAAAAGAATATTTTCAGTGACTTTTTGGAATAGGGTTCGATAAAATAAAATTGATAGTAATAAATCAAGGCTTCGTTTTTTAGGCCTATTCTTTATTTTATTGGCATATTTTGGTTAAAAAAATGAACTGGGGTACAATGAAAAAGTTAAGTTTATTTTTTGAATTATGTGCCCGGTGGCGCTCTCCTCTTTCTCTTTCTCTTTCTCTCAATCAGATAGAATACCGTATGATAGAAATAAAAACGGCGTCCAGTTGGCTTGGAAATGATGATCGATGACATTCCCCATATAATTTTACATATAAAATGACAGCGATTTTCATTTCATGACTGACGCCTTTTTTTATCATATTGTACTTTCTACAAAGTCTTGACAAAGATAGGCGATTAAAATCTTATAGATACTTTATATTTGTATTTTAGTTGTATTAAAATGTTTTGAGTTTTCGTATTTTATAATAATTTTAATATATTGTGTTAACCATTATATTCTGTTTTTTTATGTATGTATAATTCTTCACTTCATATTTCTATCAGAATTAACCTATAAGATATTTTTTTTTCGTAATATCAATACGTAGTTTATTAAAGTAGTTTTTATGTAGTTAATGAACGGGAAAAAGGTAGTTTTTGAAGAAAAACTACACGTAGTTAATCAGTTAAATTACATCTTAATTAACTACTTCCGAACCCTGGCGTTAACATTATTAGGCATTTGCATAAAAGTAAAAGTGTGTATTTTGGGTTGTATTCCACAAAATTTGCGGGCTATTGAGGAAACAGAAAATGTGCAGATTATTAGAAATAAAGTCACTTTTTCAAACATCTTCAAATCCTTCAATTTAATAGCTATTACTAAGAAGTTACACTTCAAATAAGCACACATAGTGCACACACTATTTTTCTGTAAAACAAAATTTTCTATAACCAAACACTATTTAATACATCTCAATTTACGAGACAACTCGCATCACTAATCTCATCATTTCCACCACATATCCGTCCAAATCAACTTTCTCCGACTACGGTCACACTGTTTGTCCCCTATTCCTCACACAAGAAGAAAAAAAAGCAGCTCAGTAACCCCATTAGAAGTCAATGAGCTATAGACGATAAGTTAACGACGACAAGCTGGAAGCTACGCGGAGATCACGTGTCCCGGCGTGACCAATCGGCGGGCATTCAGTTCGCGCGCTGGGCCAATCCGAATCGATTCGACACGTCTTGTAAGGGCGCCAGATTTGAATAGAGCGTGACACGAGATTACATGGGAGACTGAGGGGAGGTATGGATCGCAGGGGAGCTAATAATGTTGTCGACAAGTTTGACATGGGAAGATTTTTTTCGCTATTATAACCATAGATCATATACAGGGTGTTTTAAAAGACATTTGCCATCTTGCCTGGGGAGATTCCTCACCTAAAAATAAGATTTATCTATTTCTTTTATCAACATAGCTCCGATTCTGCTTTGTTGCATAGCTACAACAGAGGTTTAAAGTCTTTTAATTTTTTTTTATTTAAATACCATTTTATCGTCGACTAAAAAGATTTAATTTCGGCAGGATAATGCAATTTTATCGTCGTGTATAAAACAATCTTTTTTTCCATAGGGTGTTACGTTTTAGAAAATATTCAGAAATTATTATTTCAAGGAATTTATTAGGAGTTGAAAAAATATCGTGCTGGGTTGGCGTTGGTTTCTATGTAATTTGACAAATAAATAAAGCTGTCTCTTTAGTTGTCAGTTTTGAGTAATATTTTTTAATTCTCTTTCGTGTCGATTGCTGATTGAATTTGAACCAGAAATGGCTCAAAACGAAATAAGTAAATTACCAACAGATATTCAGGCTGAGGCGACAAACGCCATATCCAAACTACTTCCATTTAAATCCCGAATAACTTATGAAAAGGAATACAAACATTTTCAAAAATGGAAGCAATTAAAAAACGTGCGAGAAGAAATAAAGTTTTTAACCTATCCTCGCTGTTAAAGCATCATTCAATCTACCCTTGCGGTTAAAGTACTATTTTATCTACTATTTTTGATAGATATAATATACAGGATGGCCCATCGAAAACGTTCCGCAAGGCATAACGGCCAGGGTAATTTTTTTTTCAGTAAATTCAAAAACACGTCAATTTTGTTTGTGAGGGGGACAACTTTTGCCCCAAAAATAATTGCAAAATCTTCAACCCTCTAAGTGGGGGTGTCATCCCCCAATTTTTTTCAAATGGAAAAGGAGGTCAAGTGATACCGCAATGAAAAGGGCTTTCTATCCTCTATACTTTCCGGCTTCGTTTTTGAAAATCGGTCGAGTCATTGAGAAAATATGAAGGATTGATATTTGAAAAGTTTATTTAAACATTTGTCAGAGTAAATGATAAGAGTAAATTCCTTCGACCAATTTGCTGTTTTTTCTAATTATTTTTGGATGTTTACGCATTTTTTCACTTGTCACAAGGTTGAACGATCAGGTGCGGTAGTTGCTAGATAGCTGTTCTGTGACTTATGAGTTGAAGTTCTTCTCAATATCGTTTAGCTTTTTAACAATTATTATGGTGTACTCCCTTGCAGAAAAAGTAGAAATAATCGAACTTTATTTTAAAAATAATGAATGTGGCAATCGGTTTGCGCAGATATTGAATGAACGTCATCCTGACAAACATCTTTATGGCAAAATTGTTCGCGAGTTAGTAGCAAAATTTCGAGAAACTGGTTTTGTTATGAATATAAAAAGGCAGAGGGAAAATCCTGTAGTAAATGAAGCTATGGAGGTATTCGCATTGGGCCAAGTTGCCATGGATAGTACGTTGAGTACAAGAAAATTAGCCAATAAGACCGGCGTGAATCGTACAAATGTCCAAAGGATATTAAAAAACACGTAATAATCTAGAAATTCATTTACCCACTAGTAGTTATAAAAAGCATTTTTGGTAAACTCTGTCCCTAATAGTTTCTGAAAAATAAAATAAATTTTTTAAAAATGTTCGATTAAATGTATATCTCCGAAACTAAAGTTCCAAAAAAATTCGTAATATATCTAGAAATTCATTTACCCACTAGTAGATAGTATAAGTAATAATTCATTTACCCGCTAGTAGATAGTATAATAAATAATCTAATAATAGTAAGATTGTATAAGTTCCACCCGTACAAAATTGAGGTGGTACAAGAACTCAACGAAGACAATTTTGATACTAGCTTGCAATTTTGTGAAACTATGAGTGAACGAGTAGCGAATGATAATAATTTCCTATTTAATGTGAGTTTTTCGGATGAGTGTACTTTCTTTTTGAACGATGTAGTTAATCGGCACAACTGTACTGGGCTGAGGGCAACCCCAGGGTTTTGCTCGAGGTGAACACACAAAACCCTCAGAAATTGAACGTGTGGGCTGGTATTTTTCGAAATTCTATTGTGGGTGAGTTTAACGACATTGAGAAGAACTTCAACGCACAAGTCACAGAACAACTATCTAGCAACTACCGCACCTGATCGTTCAACCTTGTGGCAAATGAAAAAATGCGTAAACATCTAGAAATAATAAGAAAAAAACTCAAATTGGTCGAAAGAATTTATCCTTATCTTTTACTCTGATAAATGTTTAAATAAATGTTTCAAATTTCAATCCTTCATGTTTTCTCAATGCCTGGACCGATTTTCAAAAACGAGGCGGGTATATAGAGAATAGAAAGCTCTTTTCATTGTGGCGCCACTTGACCCCCTTCCCATTTGAAAAAAGTTGGGGGATGACACCCCCGCTTAGAGGGTTGAAGATTTTGCAATCATTTTTGGGGCAAAAGTTGTCCCCCTCACAAACAAAATTGACGTGTTTTTGGATTTTATGAAAAAAATAATACCCTGGCCGTTATGCCTTGCGGAACGTTTTCGATGGGCCACCCTGTATAAGGCAATTTTAACAGTTGCTATGGAAAAAATAGTCTTAGAGAGTAGTTTGTGAAGTGGCTTAGTTAAAACTGATACTGCGTTTTTTTAATAATAATTTATTCTTCTAAACATGTTTGTTTCGTTCTGTCAGCTCTGTCTTTCCAGCCAAAACTATTCGACATTAATCATAGACTCGTTCGGATAAATTCCGGTGATATCGACCCGGAACCCGGAAGATTAACAATTCCCGCTCGACCGAAAAGATTCTTTCTTGCATTAATGACGTCCCGAGGGATGGTGTAGATTTGCATTTAGAGCAAAACAATTCGCTGAAAGCAGAAATTATTCATTTTAGGCAATATTCAATCTTTCCTAATAAAAAATTGTGTGTACACTATGTGCTCATATTTAGAGTGAAACTTCCTTTTAACAGTTATTAAATTGGAGGATTTGAAGTAAGTAACATACAGTGTGTTTCAAAAAACATGTAGCATCTCTCTTGGGG